TTACAAGCACCAGATGACTCTGTGCTGCGCACTCTACGTGCCATAGGCTCGGTTTCCATTGTCATTTCATAACTGGAGACACTGAGTGTGACAGAATGATGATCCCCAAGATGGTCGCATCTGAATCCTTGGAACATGGGCTGTGTTGCCTTCCAAAGCGAGGGGACTTCATAATGGGGTTGAGTTAAAGACCTTGGCCATGGGGAATGGTCTGGATAGTGGAGGTGGGGAGCGAGGTTAGGGCGTCATACGGGCCCTAACTAGACAAAGAGGCAGGCAGAGAGCCAGAGGAGCAGGAGATGCGAGTCATGGTGAGGTGGGGCCATGGGCATGTGGGTGGCCTCTAGAAGCTGAAAAAGTCAAGGAAATGGATTCTGGTCTAGAGTTTCAGAAAGAACACAGCATCCAGTGAGACTACTTTTGCACTTCTGACCTCCAGAACTCCAAGAGAATATACTTGTGTGGTTTTGCGCAGCAGGAGGGGATTGAACACACCAAGGTTTTGTAAGGTTAAGTAACTTGTCAAGAACTTTCAGCTTGTAAGTGGGAGAATTAAAACCCAGATTTGCCTGACTTAAGAACGCATTAAGTGAAAACAAGAATGAATATATATTTTTTCATCTCAGCTTTCCTCCCTCTGGAGGAACTCCTAATGGGCGGTGAAAGGACTGACAGGAGGAATGTGGAGAAGCACAGTGAGATGACACAGGAGTCGGGCTGAGATTTAGGGGCTAAACCTATAGCAAAGGCGACAAACGAACACCTGCTGTGTGTGAGTGGCGGATGTCAGCTGGTGAAGTAGGCAGAAGCGAGTGCACACACAACCTGAAAATACAACATAGAAAATGGCAGCTCACACGCTTCCCAGATGGGGAGCAACTGGAAGTGTCAGAGAGCGTGGCAAAGTGGAAGGCGTGTGGGCGGAGCGGTGCTCGCTAGCCAGCTCTGATTAAAGGTTCTGTGGGAAGGTGGGACCCATTTTGCCAAATCTTTGATTACTCATAAGCAGCTAGAAATCCAGGGCTCTTTGTGGAACGTCAAGATTTTTAAAGATGGAGAACAAACAGAAAGTTCATCAAACAAAACGCAAGATGGACTAAACAAAAGCCACTGACACACTGCCAGTTTGCAACCTCGGAGCTAAAGCTTGCGCCCACTGTCAATGACATGACCACTGTCCCCTGTGACCACTGGCTATGAAACCCTGGAGGGCACAGAGCACGCTTGAGAAATTTTAACCTGAAAGGTCACATGGATTTAAGGCCAATGTGCGTGTGATAGCATGTGAGCCGATAGCTACACAGAATGCCTTTTCTCTGCATGCTGATATTTCCAGACAGAAGCTTCGAGAAATCCATTTTCAAGCTAGTGTTGAAATGAACAAGTCTCCCACACACCCTCACAGTAGCCGATGCACACTGTAGCTGCAGATCAACAGCTAATACACCACCGCCACCGAGCTTCTCCATTTCGGTTGGGGACACTTCATTTCTGAGTGGTTTGCTATGCTGCTGTAAGGAGCTCTAATCAGTACGGTTATATAAACATGCAAAATCACGACTTCTATTTTTTCCCACAATCGAACCCAGGGTTTAAGACAATAAATTGTTTTTTGACAACTTGTCAAAAAAGCAAAGACATGTGGACAAGGGTCAGTCTTGTTCTATTTTCTTAGTTTTTTCTTTTAGCAACACAAAAGACAGCATGAGAGAGGAAACAGCGTTGGTTTTTGCTTTTCACAGGCTTTTTTTTTTTTTTTTTAGAGTTCCAACATGTGACCACTTAAAGGCACCTCAGGAAAAATGAACACGCTGCTGCTCAGCTTCGTAGAGCTGGGCCGGGCTGCCATCACCAGGCTCGGCCCCTGCCCACCCCCTGCGCAGCCCCTGCAGCAGCAGGTACTCCCCGTCAAGTTAATGGGCGCCTCACCCTCCTCTCCTTCTGACAGAAGACTTTAATCCCTTCTCACACCTACCCCTCCCTGCCCAGTTCCATAGCTGCCCTGACAACGGTGCGGGCCAACAATAACTTCAATGAAAGCCACGCATCTGATGCAGCATTTCACCAGTTAAGTCTGGGAATTAGCCTTGTTTAGGATCCTCTCATGTAGTGCCTGAGGCAACGTCACAATCCTACACATGTCCCAGGTATACCCCAGGTATTTCTTCCAAAATGTTTAAAATGCCTGATACAATATAGAAGTTCTGATTACATACTTTAAAAGCAACTTATATTCAGATAGCTTTTCCTCTTCTAATCTTTAGGGCATAGAAATTTAGTAACATTTAGAAAATTTAGAAAGCTTGGCAGAAAGCCCCAACATACACGTTGGCTTTGTGACATGGACTGTCCTGTTTCACCTCTGTCACACTTCAGGAAGCAGGCCTCACCGCCTTCTCACCTGTGGCACTTTGGTGGAAGTGGGGCCCAGGCCTCCTTAAACACTCAGGATGAGCTCTTCCCATGTCACACAACACTTTCCAGGACATGTACCTAACACGTACCTAGCACAGACTCAAGACTTGCTGCCTTGGCAGATCTTGACATTGGCATCTACAGGTTGGGACAAATATTATCAATCTAAGACAACTGTGCATCATGGCGCCCTGGAATGGAAATGATCATGGCCTCTTATCACCTCACAAAACAAAATTCTGGCATTCGCAGATTGCCTTGATAAGGTTCATTCCATCTCTTCAGAATTCACTAGAGAAAATCTCATGACCTCAAGCTACACATAAGTGTTTCCAATGGCAGGAGCTATATCTGCTCTCTTCCCACATATTCCATCCCGAAAGAGTACACATTGTCCACTTACCAAGTTACCTCATGGAAAGAACAGTCCCGAGGATGACTCCTTCCTTCTGGTCTGTTCTTTTTGGCATTTATTTATACTCTTCCCCGCACCCCAACTTGACCCCGGTCATTGCAATCTCCACCGAGTAATCACTTTAAACCCTCTCTTTGGATTTTAAATCCACTAGATAATTTTTTCAGGTGCTACCAAAACCAGCCCAACTCCAGAGATCTCTCAAGGTCAAAGTTTTGCATCACCACGGCCCTCCTGGTGGCACAACAGGTTAGATTGCAGCACTACGAAGCTAGCCGTAGCCCCCTCAGCACAAGTTCGATCCCCAGTCAAGGAGGTGACCCACATGGTGCGGCAGACCTCTCCTGACCCGCCCGCTGCTCCCCTCAGCAGTGAACTTTGTCAGTCTGCCTGTTCTGCTCCCCACCCTGTCTCTGGTGAAGCCTCTCACCCTCCACATCTCTGGCCTGTACCCCAGTTCTGTATGCATAAATAAATCAATCTTTAAAAAAAGCAGTATTGTGTCAGCAGCTGAGTTTCCAGGTTTCAATACAGTCAAGTCCTATCCATGTAAGCAGAACAAGTCTGCCTTCCACTACAGTTCTGGATGATGGCCTTAATCCAATCATTTTCACTTGCAGCTGCTCCTAGGGGTCATGTAAAGTGATTCATTTAAAAGAAAAATGGAGGAACGAAGCAGAAACATACACTCCTGCACAAGGGCCAAACAAATGCCAGCTCCTATGCTAGGCTTTCCTCCCCATCCAGCGTTCTTTTGTGATATCAGTGAACATGTCCCACCTTCTCTACCGGAGAGCTCCCAAGCCCACTGGTTATTTACTGTTATAGCCCAAGTATCTGCAGCACAGGACTAAAGAGCCCTTTTCAGTAAATCCTTGCATGGTGCATTGTATGTATAAATTCACATGTGTGTATAAACATGAAAGTTCCTCATGAGAAAACATCTATGTCTTTGGAAGCTGGAGTTGGTTACTTCTGATAACAAAAGCACTCATGTGAGTAGCACCCAATATTGCAAAGCACACATACCAAACTTCTTGTGCACCACAAATGAACTGTTGAAAGTGTGAAACGCTTATCTTCCTAATGCAAATTCATGCACAGAGGCGAAGACAATTTTGTCTAAATGAAAAGACACAGCTCCTCAATATAATTTAAAAAAATACCTTTCTGTGCTAAGAACCTTATGAGAAAACAAATTACTTACCCATTTTTGTTCACTTTCATTCAACAACAATAAAATTCTTACTAGTTCATTTTCCTTGAGTTTTGTTTCCAAATGTCATTTGCTTTTTCCTACGACTGGCTTTTACTCTTATTTTGGGTATGTTGGCTTGTCTTGATTGTTTTAATGAGCTAGTACTATGTTTTAAATTATAACACTAATAATACCAAAAGCTTTGAAAGACAGTGGTATCAAAACTGCATTGATGACAAGTTAGTTATTGAACTAGTTAGTGTCACAGTATACCGAAATGTTGCTTTAAATTTTTGCTGGGAATTTAGTATATGAGTAAAGCAATGAAGGAAAATTTTTAATTAAAAAGTGTCTGAAATATATCCAAAAGGAGAGACTTCTAAATCCCAGCCTTTCATGCAGTGAGTGACCATATTTTCTTAAAAAAGAAGTTATCCACAGGCAGGACTCCTGCCTCTTCAAAGTTTCAGTCTAGAGAAGGACTGAAACCAGAAGGATTTCCAGTCATCGCAGGCTTTAATATCATTTCATCTATACAGTAACACCCAGGAAGGGCTGCCTTTTTAAAAAGCTGATGAAGTCGTCTCCAGGCCCCGTGCATGGTCTCCTACTCCTAACTGGACCACAACGAAAGAAAAGGATGCATCCTTTTGTTAGCTATTAACTCGTGCCTTACAGCTACTCTGCCAAATGGTTAAAAACTGTTCTACGGTCTTACGCAAGTACCATGACTAGCCGTGCGTCCTCATAAACTTGATCACATTGAGATTCTGAAATTATATTCCATCTCCTCGACTGCACATTTCCCTAGGTCAATAGCACAGGAATCACACCAATGCAATCCATGCAAACACCAGTCTCCATTCTCCATCTGTCCTCAGAAGCCCGTTCAGCAGTGTGAGCACCATGCTGCAGCATCCCTACACTTGAACTTGGGAACAGGCTTTCCAGGACTGCAGGCAGAGCCCTTACCGCATTCCTTCTGAACCTCATCTTGCCTCTCGGGGGATTAGCTTCTGCCATCTCGCCTATACACAATAACACTCTTCTTTTCCAATTGTCAGTGCAACATGGATGAAATATGAGCTGCTTCTTCGGTCGTGTTTAAAACCGGCAGCCAGAGATCTCTACAAAACAAAGCTAGTGGAGCAGCTTCCATTACCATGGTGGCAGCTCTGCAAAAACCCTCTACCCCTGATTAGTCAGCTGACAGAGCCTCCCTGCTGCTCATTGTAATTCAGAGCTGACACGGTCCCCCAATTACTTAGCCTGGTTGAACCTCACGGGTTAGCTTGTGTTGGACTGCTCAAGAAGATCAGGCACGTCCTAGGAAGGAAAGAATTAAAAAAAAAAATAAAAACCGACTCGACTGACTCTTCCTAGGGGCTGGATGGGACGGGCTTTCTCTTCTGCGCAGTTGGCTTTTTAAGGTGGAATGCTGAGAATCTCTGTGAAGGTAGCACTAACGATGCCTTTATCCTTGTCCTACCCTGGTCGCTAACTTAAAATTCAGCTGTCTTTGCTTAAATTCAGTTCTATTCTGGGTTTAAGCCTTGTGAAATGTTAACCAATGGTTAAAATTCTGTCCAGATGATAATCAAGAATGTAACAAACCAACTTTCTGAGATAGGCTTCTCTTCCAAATGTAACATTTCTCCCAAAAATATGACTGAAAAAAAAAAACTTGTGACTCCGTTGATGAATTATGAAGTACGACCTACCTGCAGTTTACTTTTGAGTCTACAAATAAAGGTCTGCAAATTGAATTGTATAAGTTTTTTCATACACTCACTTAAAATAATATAGCAAAGTTACCCCTATCTAGGTGTGGCAATGTCCAGCAAAAATCCTTAAGCCAGCTTTTCCTCTTGAAACTTTTTGCATTCAGTATTTACGTATTGCAAACAGTGCACGATGGCTATTGGCACCTGAGCTGCAACTGAGGTGGGCCTAGGCACAGAAATTAGAACTCAAGCAGAAATATTCAAAATGTTAACAAGAAACAGCACAAAGCAATGAATGGACAGTGACAGGCCATCGACACCGGTACCCCCACCTCCTGCCCTGCACGGCCAGTTTGGCTTACGAGAATAAATGGAGCCTCAGTGCAGAGCTGTTCACTGAGCGTGGCTCCGAACTCCCCTAGGAACCAGCAGGGATCACAAGACACAAGCCATCATTCCTCTGCTGACCCCACTTCAACGGCATCAAGATGGGGTTTTATGTCGCTTTTAGTAAAAACAAGACATTTGCTCCACGCAACCTCCTGACTAATAAAAGTAAAACTTTATCAAACTTTGAGTGCCAAATAATCACTCAAAGAAAATTCATTTAGTCAAGCAGATAGTTTAGCCAAAAACCTTACTCTGGCTCTTTTTGTTCCTTAGCTATTTGACCTTGGATTCACCACACTACCTTTGCAAAGAGCGTGTATCAATGTCATCCTTCATCTATAAGGCACTACAAGGATACCAGCCTGAAGTACTTAATCAGGAAAGAGAGACACATTGTTACTGAATAAATGTGAATGATTTTGGAAAAGCAAAACTATACATACACAGTCAAGATTTTGCTATTTTGTTCTAGTAACCCGTGTGAATTCAGTATTGACTTCTGTCCACTGCTAATGATTAAACAGCTCTATTACAGAAATAAACAAAAAAGGACTTCGCAGACTTGCCCAAGATGAGGAATAATTCATGCTGAGTGTGAAAAGAATAATGATCTCATCATTCATCTTTTATATGAGTGCCAGTTTAGTTTTTACATTGCTTAGCAAGTTAGTATAGCAAAAAAAAAAATTTTTTTAAAAAGACACTAGCTCAGAAGTGTGACCTAGATTTTTATCTTCTCTTCACAACTGAATTGACTTCCTCTAGTGGATACAGCCTCCTGTGTCAGTCAGGAGACAAAGTGAGAATGCGAGGTGGCTGATGATGTTGGCCTCTCAAGGGGAAAAAAAATGGATTCCTAGTTGCTCTGGTGAGACAGAAGGGTGGCCATGTGTTACTTCCTCAGACAGCCCCCATCTTACCAAATGCAGGAAGCTGTGGACTCATCTCTCTCCTCTTCTGTGAAAGGGAGTGTCACACAAAGCCAGTAAGGCCAGTCTACTCACATAAAAGAACAACTTGGCTATGGGAAGGATTGCATCTCTCACACTGCCTCCTTTAGGAGGACTGTTGTGTCTGTCTGGGCTTTAGGAAGCAGATTCCTTAGGGACAATCGGTTCCAATAACAGAGATCTGCTTGTCAACTTTAGGGGAACTTACCCCCTGACACCAACGCTGGGTAAGACTCCAGGATACATATCATTTTTTCAGAAGTGCTGATTTTTGGATAATCCGGAGTGCTGGATTATTAATCTTTTTTTAAGATTTACTTTATTTATGCATACAGAACTGGGGCACGGGCCAGAGGTGCGGGGGGTGAGAGGCTTCACCAGAGACAGAGTGGGGAACAGAACAGGCAGACGGATGATGTACACTGCTGAGGGGAGCAGCGGGGAGACAGGAGAGGTCTGCTGCACCGTGTGGGTCACCCCCTGGCTGGGATCAAACTTATGCCACAGAGGCTGGTGTGCAGCTTGATATGCCAGATGGCTTGATAGCGGGGAGGCTTTAACCCCTGTGCCACCAGGGAGGCCCGGAGTGCTGGATTACTGACTCTTGTTTCGAATTGTCTTTTCTACACCTCTTCATATGAACGATGAGTGTGCAACACGTAACATAGGCATTTCCATTTCTGCAAAGTTCCCATAAAAGCTTGCCTTACTCAAAACTGCATAGAGATCCATGAATATCTTAGTCCTTAATACTCATCTTTTTGCATTAGGTTTATTTATTTGTTTGTTTGTTTAACTTAATCCCCTCAACTAATTTTCCCTACATTCTACCTCACCATTCTATCTGCTCCTATTGTCTCCATAAGCATGCCAACAATCTGTCCCACCCTCAACAACAGACAATCAGCACTGGCACCACAGCCTTCATCGGCACTTACTGAGATTTTCTGGAGAGAGATTTTGAGAGAAGACCATGTATCCAACCTTCGATCAAGAATAATGGTAAACCGGGAGTCAGATCCATTTTGTCTGCAAGATAAGAAGAAACAGTGTTTTTCTTAGTACTAATCCACATTTGCTTGGAATGTCCTTACTTCTGATTATCTCATTTACATTTGATCTCTTGAGTAGAGGCAGATTTGGATTTGGAAAGCTCTCACTAAATGTTACCTCGGAAAGCCAATTATATGCCCTATTCCACTACTCACTCATTAAAATTTCTTTTTAAGCACTAATCACAATCTTTTAATAGGCATTTGATAGTGTAAAGTAGATCACGAGGCCGCCTTGGGAATGCTGGCATCGTGTGTATGGGTAATGTCAGGCAGCTGGTCCATCATGACATTGCATTTGTTTTCCAGGGAGATCCACCACAGAGCAACAGGCCATCCATTCTTCCCACACAACAGTTAAATATCTCTTTCTACACCCTGACTGTTCTTTTTAAGGACAGGTTTATCAGGAAAAGGAGGCCACACAGACGGCATAGTCAAGGTAGTGGGAGGCGAGCTGCCCTCTTGACTGTTCTGTAAAGGTGGGCAGCTTAAGGGATAATAACACTTTTATTTGACCCCAAAAGACCATTTTTAAGCTTCAATGAATGCACTGTCAATTTAGATTTTCTGGGGTTTGATTTTTGTTTATGAGACTTCGCGATTTTATCATCCTAGTTGTGGACCCTCTTAGTCTCCAAGCTCAGTAATGAGAATATTTTTCCCTTAAAATTTTGCCTCTAAGCTCTCCCTGATGGTGCAAAGGCTTAAAGCTCAGCACTAAGAAGCTGCTGGCAGCCACTGCAGCACGAGTTCAGGGGGGTGACCCACATGGTACAGCAGACCTCTCCTGACCCATCCGCTGCTCCCCTCAGCAGTGGATTTCAGTCAGTCTGCCTGTTCTGTTCTCCACTCTGTTTCTGGTGAATCCTCTCACCCATGCCCCACCCACCCCACCCCCCGCACCTCTTGCCTGTACCCCAGTTCTTGTATACATAAATATATCTTTTCTAAAAATGTGTCTTTGACCTAAATAAAATCTTTAAGCTTTCCAAACTTTTCCCTTGAAAGTATTATAAATTCATATTATCTCCAATATCAAGAAGCTCCTCCTAACCTAGTATCACTTTTGAATCTATTTATCATTCAGTGTTCTTATCCTTGAAAGAAATGAACAATAGCTGTCCTTATTCTTGGCTAGTAAATTCCTTAGGCAAATTAAAAGACTTTAAGTGTGATCACCTTTCCACCTATGTCTTGTTCTTCATGGGAAGAAATACTTTCCCACAGATTCTCAGCATAATTTTATAGCACTTTAGGTATCTGCCAGCTCCCCTTCTAAGTTTTGTTTCTTACCCACCCTGAAGGGGTGCCGTATGATCATTTAGAATATAGTCACACTAAAAAGCCAATTACTGTTATTACATGTAAATTGGTAGCCAACAGAAAACAAATATTTGAAATACTATACCTCGCAATAGAAGTCAAGTAAGTCAGCACTTTTGCTATCACATCTTCTGGTATACACCTGAAATTACAATTTTCTGGAAACGTAATGATCCATGCATTGTCTTTTCCACGACCACCTAAAATAGTATGAAAAAAATCAACTGAGTTGTCAATTCATGTGATGATATAAGAAGGAGGCTTTCAGATTTGAGGGGGACAGCTAGAAGAAAGGTCTGGATCAACATAACTTTTATAAGGATGATGATCTCCACGTAAACCAAACGCACCATGTTCCTGACTAAGTTTAAAAAGTGGCCCAGTGGTTTCTAAATGAAGCAGAGTGGGAGAAAAGGAAAAAAATGAGTGAACACAGAAGAAATTTTCATGAATACATATAACACATGTAGCTGAAAATAGAACTGGCCCCTCAAATTACAACCAAGGACATTGGAAATAATTGTTTTCTTACCAAAGTTATGAGCATAAATTCAAAGTGGGCAATTGATGACTTGTCATCAATTGGAACACTTGGCATTATCAACCTGTTGGAGTCAATACAAAGCATGAAGAATATGGAACACAAACTACAGGGAATAGCAGTGTTCTGGCGGATGTGTGGAAGGACAACATTGGCAATAACAGCAGCGATGGTATGGGATCTTACTAATGCAACGAAATAAAGATAACAGATTCTCTGTGGGTGCAATTCAGTGTGCATCCCACACCACAGCACTCTGCAGCCTAGATGAAGCGAAATATTGAGAATGAAAGGCAGAGAAGCTTCACAAATGCTCACGGTTCCT